CCCTAACCTGCAGGTCGGTTGAGAGATAAACTGTGGCAAGAGGTGTAAAGCCCAGAACCTTTGCTCAGGGAACCGTTTTCACAAGGCCAGTTCTACACCATGTATGCAGTAAGCTCTACACAGCACCGAGAGGAGCAGTGATGGACGTGTCCTGAGCAAGGGGCTGGGATCTGGGGAAACGTTTCTCGCTGAGAGGCTTGGTGGCCCGAGAAGCAGCTGCGGCTCTGAGATCACACGGCACAGTGCAGCTCACAGGCCGTCAGTCACGGCCGGGGGAAAGCCCTCCTGGCTTGCAGCAGAGACGGTAACAGGCAAGGAGTACCCAACCCAGGCGGCTGTCCTCCCTACGCCCGGCACAGTCCCCTCTCCTGTGGGCACAGGACTGGAGGCAGCAGAGCGGGTGGCTACAGGAGTGTGTCCTGGGAAATTCCCAAACCTGGGGTCCACGGCCGCCTCTTGTTCTGGGAAGAGACCCAGAATGTAGGCATCTGCACACAGCCTCTCCTGACGGGATGCTGACACTGATCAGAAAGTTTGTCCTCTTAATTCATCTGGAACAGAAAGTATTAATATTACTACTACTAAATACTTATTGGGCACTTACTATATACCAGAGATGGTTTCCGGCATCATACCAGGTATCCTCATGAATCCCTTACAACAACAGTATGATGTGGTTACTTACCACCCATCTATTTCAGATGGAAACTGAGGCACAGAGAGTTTAAATTAGTAACAAAGCTGAGGTCTGAAGTCTCACTGTAAAGCCCATGCTTCACACCAGTGGGCATGGCTAAGGTGATGCCCAGCATACATGCACGGGGGGTAGGGGGGAATGTGGAACAACCCAGAATACTTGTGCTCAAAAGAAAAAAACAGGCCCAAAGCTGTTACTTTTCTAATAGCCCTACGATGGCAAACAAAATCTTACTATGCAATCTGACAGTAGTTTCAGCCTCCTTGGAATAGAACCTTTAACCAGACAACATGAAATTTCCTGCTCAGCACTGGGAAATTTACTGAGACTCCTTCTGTTCTCCTTTAGGGCAACCTTGCATAAAATAGTTGATTCTTTGCCAGTAATTTCCTTTCCTCTGCTCCCTCTCCATCCTTAATAACCTTTACTTTTCCACAGCCCAAAGGAGTCTCTCTCCACTCACAAGAGGGGATGGTGTCCAATCATGAGCCACTTAAAGCCTTTAACATTTTCAAATTTACTCAAATGAATTTCGTTATTTTCAATAGTTGTAAAGTGATATGTTAGATCTAGCTGATACGTTCATGGGGAATTAGCATCTCTAAATCTCAGTTATGTTTACAATTTTTGCCACAAAAAGTTTAAACCATTTATTTGATGATGATTGCACAGGCCTATTGGTGTTGGAAAACCTGCCTGGCCTCACTACTCCTCCCACGCCAATAACCGAGGGAGTCGGAGTGATGCAGGGGGAGGAAGGGGTCGCCTCCTTTCCCAAAGCCACCCAACCGCCCTTGGATGCCTGCCCCAAGTTGAACCCCAGCCATGTTTCCAAAACCTCTGCCAGGACACATGGACAGCCGCCTCTTCCCTGCTGGAGGAAGACTGTCCCAAGGAGACCCTGCCCCAACCTCGACTGCTGGCCCTCACCCAAATTAAATCACCCAAGTGACATCTGCCCCTTTGTTAGGCAGGAAAACAGGTATGAGCAGGAAGGAAAGAGAATAAGGCCAGAAAAGCCCACTGGCAGGGGCTCAAAGATTTTACCTGTTAAAACTACAAAGCCAGAAAAGACAGAGTTAATGACAGAGTCAATTAAAGCTCAGGTCAGGAGCAACTTCACATGGAATGTTTGAATACTCCCCGGATAAAGGAAGTGTCTCGGCACAGGATATGTTTTCACTGTGTCACTGGGCTCACACCTTTGTAAGATTTACTTGAGCCTGCTGAAAGCCCCAGCTTATTCGGGAGAAATTCCATCCTGAGGCTAAGACTGCATTTTAATCAAACAGACAATGACTCAGCTCACTTCCGAGGCAGCACAGATGGTCTCGACTGATATGCTTCCAGGCAGGACTGCTGTCCTGGGAGGGAATCAGACGGGTAAATGTCTTGTGCTAAGTTAAAAGAAAAAAAATCATGTCTCATCAAAGATGAACATTCTGGAACCAGTGGACAAGTCCACACTCCAAGCCTTTTGTTATATTCCTGAAAATCCTTCACCGCGTATAAAACTCCAGACCCTAAACACTTAGGGGCGCACCTCTGTGGTCGCCTGCACTTTCTAAGTGTGTAGCCCTTTCCCAATCTTTCACCGCACCTGTCTCTTAGGTAGCCCACACTCCCCTTTCTCCAAGTGTGCACATTTTTGCCTTAAATCAACTCTCACTACTACAATGCTCTGTCTCTATGCTTTTCCAGTGTGTCTGTGTCACTTTGCTTTGTCATTGTGATCCTCTGGATTTAAGCTCAAACTTTCACGCCCTCTGCCCCATAACAGATAAGTAAGGAGGGGCTGCTGAGAGCGCAGATCTGGGCTCGCAAATCACTGTCACCTGGGTGCCCCAGATGGCGCTGCAGCTCACGGTCATGCTCTCTAGTAGCCTGCCTGAAAGCCCACTTATTTGTCTCTAGGAAGTTTGCAGAACATAACCTCATTCCATCCTGTGCTCTGCAGCTCCCCCAAAGCCTGGGGTGGTAGGGACTCGGTTCCCACGCTGTGCAGATCCCAGTGCACACTGGACGCAAGGTGACACCGGCTTAAGCAGTCAGCAGGGGATGCGACCCATGCACAGCAGAGGTTCAGTGAACTTCCTTTGTCATTCTCTCTGTCATTCCCTCACACTCTTGCCTTAATAAACTGCTTCCTCGAGAAGGGGACTGAGGGGTATTATGATCAGTTCACATGGTGTGTGGGGGTCCTGGGAACAGTGTAGCACAGAGAAGACAAGTAGTGACTCTGGCATCTTACTACATTGACAGAGAGTGACTGCAATGGGGGTACGGGACAGGATACTCGATAATATGGGAGAACATAGTAACCACATGGTTTTTCATGTGAAACCTTCATAAGAATATATATCGATAACACCTTAATTAAAAATTCATTTAAAAAATAATAAAGTCCTCCCTCACCTTATACTCTAATGTCTCTCTGACTCCAAACCAACTCCCCTCACCCCCAAAATATGTCCCAACTGTTTGAGGGGAAGCACTATCGTGGAGAACTGGATCAATAAATTCATCTTACAGAACATCTACAGGACACACTACGGATGGTGATATAATATATCTCACTACATCTCAGGTCATGAGGCCACACATCATGACACATCATGAGACTGTTAGGCAGAAGAATAGATACGAGTGGGGTGGAAATAAGAACAGGAAAGTCCACTAGGAGGGACTCAAAAGACTTAGCCACTTTATAAACTAGAGAGCCAGAAAGACGCGGACTTAATGAGTTAATCAGTAAGGCTCAAAAGACCAGGACTAACTTGGCGTGGAATGTTTGAATCTTCCCCAGATAAAAACATCTTAGCATAGCCTATGTCTTCATTTTGTCAGTCAGATCATGCCATTGTAAGATTTACTTTTGCCTGCTAAAAGGCCCAGCTTATTCTTTAACTTTACATATATGCTGTTTTTCCCTCATACAGCTCCTAAACAAGTAATTTGCAACCTAGGCAAGAGATAAGCATGATTATTTTTGCAACAAGCCCAGTTCTAAACAGCATCGTAGAACCAGGAAGGATTCCATCCTAAAGTCAAGATTGTATTTCAAAACCCGAGAAATTAAGAAGATTCTTAACACAGTCTTTAGCAAACAATGTTTCAGCCCACTGAGGGGTCAGGGCAGGCAGTCATAAATTGAAATGCTGGCATAGCCACGGTGCTAACCGTAGGAAGAAATCAGAGCAGTAAATTTCCTGTGTAAAGTTAATTTTCTAGAATTACCTGGAGGACAGAGAAGAGACTTAAAGTCTCATCACAGATGAACATTTTGGGACCACTTAACAAGTCTACACTCCCTAGCCCTGTCACATTCGTGAAAAGTCCATAAAACGGGAAACCCCCAACCCTTCAGCACGCACCGCTTTGAGGTCACCCACACTAAGTGCTTAGCCTTGAATGAATCTTAAAGCTTCCAGCGCCTTTTCTCTAAGATCGCCCACACCCCTTCCGGAGTGAGCACTTTCTCTAATTACAACTTATGCCCTTCAGGGTGCCTCGCCTCCCTGAGGTCGCCTGCACTTTATCCCTAAGTAAGTAACTTTAAAGAAAACCTCTTCTCTGCTTCACTACTTTGTCTCTGCCCTTCAATTCTCTGTTGCAGTGGGGGCAGGAACGAAGGAAAATAAACAACGCTCCCCTAAGGACACCACAAGTCATGCGTACGCCCAGCAACGGCCCAGCTTTTCCCCATTCTTGAAAGCCTGAAAAGACACAATCCTAAGACTACGAGTGAACCTTCTCTGAGGCTGCCCACAACTCCCCTTTCTTCGAGCGGCACTTTTGGACTTAAACATTTCTAACTGGTGCGATCAAATTATTTTGCTTTGTCTCTGCGCCCTTCCAGCGGTGAGCGTCTTTGTTACTTCGCTGTCATTCTAACCTGCAGACTGAAGCGCAAGCCTTCCCCCTCTGTCCTACTTCGGGGAAGCAGGGAAGGGCCACCGAGGTCTGAGTTGGGCTCACGAGTTCCCGTCGCCTGGGACACCGGGACAGGCCTCCCGCTGTCCGACCGCGCTCTTTAGAAGCCGCCCCCAAATCTCCTTTCTTGGCCTTCGGGAAGGTCTCCGAACACGGCCGCACTCCGTGCAGTGCTCTGGCCTCCCCGATATGCTGGGGTGCTAGGCCGGGGTTCCCAGGCTGTGCAGACCCACGCGGACCCCGCATCCAGGTGACCCGGCCGTGCAAGTTGCCGAGGCACCTGCCCCCGCGGAGCTCAGCGAGCGCCCCTTTCCGCCCCCGGCCCTCCCTGCTCTCTGCCGCTGCTCACCGTTCTGGACGCCGCGCTCACCTCCACTCGCCCGACCTGTTCGAGGACTCCCTCTCCTCGGGCGTCAGGAACCCGCCCGCCCAGGCGGAGGCTCCGCCGAGCGCGCGGGGAGCGGCCCTCCAGACGCAGCCGCCCCACGACGCCGGGACTCCCCGGGCCGCAGCTCCCGGCCTTTCCCAGAGGCTCTCCCGGCGACTCGCCCCGTCTGCCCCTGGGACACGGACCCCCTGCCCCTGCGGCCTGCAGGCGCTTCCGGCCTCAGCACCCCTCCCCCGCCGCATCCGCACGGCCGGCCTCCTCCCCGCTCGGAAGAGCGAGCAGGACAGGGGGCTGCAGGGCCCCGACTCACCCGGGGACGGACGGCGGGCGGGGACGGGGGCTCCGCGTCCTCTGCCGGATGCAGACGGAGGCTCTGCGCCTCGGCGTGGCCGTCCACCCGAGCACACTGCACGGGATCCCCCGCGCAGGCCGGGATCCCAGTACCCAGAATCCTCAGCGGGCGGCTCCAGGACGTAAGTACCCAGAATCCTCGGTGCGGCCCCAGGTTTCCAGTAACCAGAATCCTCAGTGGGGAGAGTCCAGGACTTCAGTACCCAGAATCCTTGGCGCAGTGTTGCTCCAGAACTTCGGTACCCGTAAGCATCAGCCACGCTTCATGCTTCAGTACCCAGAATCCTCAGCGCAGTGTGGCTCCAGGACCTCTCTACCCAGAAACCTCCGACCTTCAGCTGTCCAGCACCAGAGTCCTTGAAGCGGTGCAGCACCAACTCATCAGTACCGAGAGGACTCAGCGCGGTGCAGCCCCAGGGCTTCAACACCCAGATTCCCCAGAGGCGTGGCCAAAGGTCTTAGGTACCGAGAATCCGTGGCGCAGCTCCACCTCCCGGGACTGCACCTCCCAGACCCCCCCCTTTCGGCCCAGGTCGGCAGTTCCCTAGTCGAGTCCCCCAGCCGCAGGGGCTGCCTTTTGCCTCAGCTTCAAGTGAGGCCTCCTTGGATGGAAGCTGCACGGCCTCTACCCAGTTGCTGGATGGGCGTTCTGGGAGCTGCGGGAGCATCTGCTGCACAACCGTGCTGCAACTCGCATGTAGGGCCCCACGTTCCTTTCTGTGAGTAACAGTCCACGTCACTCTTTTCCCTTCCGGGCACCTTCTAAAACTCCCATTTCAGTACCTCCACAAATTAAGTTGCCAAGCAAATGAAAAGAAAAGGTTACAATCCTGGGCTGATGCAAAGTCTCACCGGAACCAGATGGGACTGAATGCCCTAAAAACACTGAGGAGAGAACCATTCCCAGGTCTGACACACTTGTGTTCATGATCTAATGGGCCCACAGCAGCCCCAATGCAGGAGTTCCCAGGCTGCAGAGGACCCAGGGCATCAGACCCCTGCAGGTTCTATAAAACCTTTCTGTGGGTAAAATTGTAGCATTTCCAGAATATCTCGCCTGGCTTCGGTATATCTGCATATCAATTGGCGTTAAGAGGTGGAAAGAAGTATGGCTTTAGTATTTTTGCATCCTTCCTCAGGGGTGGAGAAGTTCATCTCCATATCAATGGGTAATCACCTGGGCAACAGAGGGCTTATCTGTACCAGAGAGGTGAGGGGGAGGACCGGTGTGGTTGCTGCTTGAGCAGAGAAGAAAGACGTCTGGGACTGCCGTTTGTGATCAATAAACAGGTTTTAAACTCTATTTCTCCCTTTGACTGATTTTGGTTTTTAGGGGTATTTTGCCCCAGGATTTCCTTTCCCCGTACTTACACTGCCTATGCCCTGTGGTCCCTGCGAGCATCCAGTGTGAAAATCAACCTCAGCCTGACTCATCCAGGAACAGGAGGACCCAGTAAGGGAAGCAAATCTGACAGGAAGAGTTGGGAGTCAGCAAATTGAAGCTCGCAACACACGTGCCCTCATTGACACATTGTAAGATAAATTGTAACGGAAACAAGCAGGTGACGAGAGGCAACAAAGGGCCAGGCAGTTTATTTGAGCGCAATCCCCGGCGAGTTCACCAGTCTGAAACACAGGCTGGAGAAGTCGCCCTCAGCAGGGTAGGTGGGGAGTTTTCCTAAACACAGGGAAGGGATGGGGAGTGGGCCTCACCAGGGGTATGTGGGGAATTTTTATTGGCTCAGGGTCGGGTGGTGGACAGCCAGAGGTCTCCTTCCGGATGGAGGGGGTCTGTATCCGGGGTTTGTTGGCACATCATGGGACTGGAATCCAGGAAGCGCTGTCCGTTCCTTATATGGCACAGAGCTGTTTGGTGCTGTATTTGTTCCACTTGCACTGTTCTTGCTTTCCTCCCTCTGGTACCTCCAGCCTTACACACATGACCTCAGAATGTCAACATCAGAAAGTCAGGTGCTTAGTGGGAATTGGCCACTTGAATAATTCTAGTTTCATTGGTAGGAGATACCCTGCATTGAGCACAGGGTAGACGTTTGTTTCTATAACTTTAAATTCTTATATGATTTCAAATTTAAAGAAAAGTTGCATTATAACAGGACAAAGAATTCTCAAATCCTCGTTTCCCAGCTACCTTCATCACCTGTTTTCACTCTGCAGTGTTTATCTGGTCTGTTTTATCAACTTCTCTCCCACTCTCATTCCTTTCTCTCCCATTTCAGACCCTGTTGCAGACTTTGTGCCCTCATGTCCTCAACATTTGAATATGTATTTCCTAACCTCAAGGGCATGGGCACAGGACAATGATTAAATGTGGGAAATCAAATCACACTACTATTGTCTAATCCACCACTGGCTTCCAATTTTGTCCACTGTCCCAATAATGCCATTTCTAGCCATCTTCCCTCCCCCTTCCCCACCCAGTCCTGCCTCAAGAATTATGTGTATACAGTAGTCGGGCCCCTGGGTCCTGTCTCAGCTGCACACTGCCTCATGTTTCTTTGTGTGTTCTGACCTTGAGATTTTTGAAGGGCACAGAGGCCAGCTGTAGTCTAGAATGCCACGCAAATGGACACTACCTGAGGTCTGCACACAGGAGATGCAAGTGATGGTGCAAATACCCCTGGGCATGGTGTGTCCTTCTCAGGACCCCTTATCAGGAGGCACTGGTGTCTCTTTACTGATGATGCTGACTTTGATCCCACAGCTAAGCTGGTGTCCCCAGCAGGGCAGTCATTCACCTTTTGTAATAATCAGAATTATGAGAATTTTAAGAGGTAAAATCTGTCTTAGGAAAGAGCATAAAACCTGAATGTGATTTATTCCCACCTGGATGTTTAAACATTGTAACAGTAAGGTATTAACAAAGGGTCACATGCTGGAAGATGTTAAGACTGAGAGTGGGGGTGGGGGTGGGGGAATTGGTAAAAGCCTGGCTACACCTGTTTGATTTGAGTTTTCTAAACCTACCAATAAAATTAAGACAAATGGAAGGGAAAGATATAACTGGCTTAGGCAACGTCCGGTAAGGAATGTAAACCCTGTAGTACTCAGCCAGTGAGGAACCAGGGGAGGGACTCACACACTAGGAGATTATTATCGGTGCCCCCCAGTCACCTGATTCTGCAAGACCGTCATTAGAGCCTCGCTCCCCTGCTCTCTGTCTCCGTGTCCACTTACTGAGTTTGGGCCGGTGAGTGTGTTTCTCAGAATTTGGGGGCTCGTTCGGGATCCCCTTGCCCGTGCGAGGTGGGGGCCCACGGGGCGGGAAGACGCGTCCCCCCGGCTTCGGGCGGCCCGCCCTGCCTGGGCGTCTCACCTTCGCCCGGAAGCCGAGGGGGGACCCGGGACTGCTGTGCGGAGACAGCGTGACCGACGCCCGGGAGAAGACGCAGGCGCCGCGGCGACCAGGCGTCCTCGTGCACCAGGCAAGGCAGGGGAGGTGGCCGTGAGCGCGGCCCCGGGGGTCGGGCGCGTCCCGGGGTCGGGTGTGTGCGGCTGGGACGCGTTGGAGATGCGAAGCGAGTCGAGTCCCGACCCGCGGTTCCATCTCCCGCCAGGGAAACCGCCGGGGACGGACGGAGGGGATCCCGCCGGGTGTGTGCAAGGAGCCTCCGTCACGGGGGGCTGGGTACGCAGGGGGCTCGGACACAGGGACCTCCTGAGAGGTGGGAAATACAGGTTCTAGGCCCAGGGAACCAGGGAAGGGAGCCGGCTGAGCTCCCCTGAAACCCCCCCAGAGAGCCTACTGGGGTGAAGGTCGCGGCACTGGGGGGATGCCTGCCCTACCGGGTTAAGGACAGAGGATAATCAAATTTTGCTGTTTTGTCTGGATTAAGTTGGATCAGTTAAAAACTGGCTTTGCCAGGTTTTAATTATTTTTTTGATTGTAATAAAGCCTCCAGTTCACCTGAGGAAAGGGACTACATGCTCTGCTGGTTACCAGGGGCACTTCCCCTATTTTCTGTCAACACCAGAGAAGGCTATGCTAAGGAGGAGGAACTATCGGAGAATTCCCAGGACAATTCCGGGTGCTGGGGAGTGTTGTGTATTTTCCTCAGTCAGTATCCCCGCTGCAGTGGAGAGCTGAGGGGCAGGGACACGGCAGTGAGGTACAGAGAAAGTATTTTTGGAGTTACTTGGGGAGAGAGAAAGTGCAGGCCGCCTCGGCAGGGAGGGGCATCCTGGGAGTTTGGAGAAAGTTTTAAGTTAAAAGGTTGCACACTTTGAGGGTGCCAGCGGCCTAGGAGAGAGGAGCACCCCAGGGGTTGGGGGTTTACATTTTTAAGGGTTCTTTAGGAGTGTGGCCAGGGGCTGGGGAGGTAGACTTGGTGGTGGTCTCAGAGACATTAAGTTTCTTATCAGTCCTCTAGGTAATTCTGCAAAATTAGCTTCACACAAAAAATTTACTGCTTTTAGCCCCCTCCCAGGATGGCAGCTTCCTGGTTTGGGAACATATCAGGACTGGCTGCCCTTCTTCCAAGGGGGCAGAGTTATTGTCTGTTTGCTTATGAGTAAGTTGAGAGTCTTGCTTCTTGACCTCCTGGGTATTAAAATGCAATCTTGGGGATGGAATCCTTCCTGCCCTCTGCTGCGCCTGCGTGCTGAATTGATTGCCTGGTTTGCAGACTACTTGATTGGGGTCAGAGGGAAAAAAAAAGAAAGAAAAAGAAAACAGCATATAAGTAGAGTTTTAAAAAGGGGGGTTGCTGGGCTTGTATGATTAACATAATAAGGACAGGTTATGATGAGGTACCCTCCTTTATCTGAGGAATATTCAAACATTCCAGGCCAAATTGCTCCTGTCTTTTTGAGCTTTAATTCTTTTTAGTAGACTTCCCTGGCCTTTTTCTCTTTCCACCTCGCTCATACCTATTTAACATTGGGCCCACTTTCTCATCTCCCTCCCTGTGGGTAAAATTGCAACATTTCCAGAATATCTCACCTGGCTTTGGTACATCTGCATATCAACAGGCGTTCAGAGGAGGAAAGAAATATGACTTTAGTGCATTTGCATCTTTCATCAAGGGTGGAAAGTTCATCTCCATATCAATGGGTAATTACCTGGGAAACCAAGGGCGTGTCTGACCCTAAGAGGTTAAGGGTTTGGGACTGGCTTGTTTATTCTGGAGCAATGAAGAGAGATGGTGCTGGACTGCAGATTTTAAGCAATAAATGGGTTTTAAACTTTATTTCTCCCTTTGTCTGATTTCAGCTTTTAGAGGTATTTTGCCCTGGGATTTTCTCTCTCTGGACTTACACTCAGTTCTGCACACTTGAGAAGGTCTTTGAGGCCAATAATATTGGGAATGCCCAACCCTAAGGGACTAGTATGTCCAGGGGATGCAGAAGCGTACCTGAAAGAGCTCCCAGTGGCCAAAGCTGGGAAAATTTGAGCAATGAAATAAATTACAGAGTGCTGGGTGATACCTGAGAACATGAAATGAAGATACACGAGTCCACAGTGTTATAAGTAAATAATCAGAGAATTAAATATGTGGAGACAGATCTTCCAAACAAATAATTCTACATCATATATGTAGACATGTCCCCTCCAAGATGGAAAACTTAAATCACCACCTTCTTGAGTGCAGCCTGGACTTAGGAAATTGCTTAGAAAGAAGAGACTATGGAAAAAGAAAATTGAAACTGTGCAGTGGCAATGTCTGGCAGAGACCACCTGAACCAAATGGTCAAGATTAACTTGACCAGTGACCAAAACAATCAACATTAACATCATCATTAATATTCAGGGGATGTCAGTAAAACCAAACTCAAATTGAGGGACAGTCTATGAAATGCCTGACTGTTAGGCAAGAAAATATATGTGAGAAGGTGGAAAGAGAACAAGGTCAGTAAAACCCCCTAGAAAGGACTCAGTTGGCCAGTTAAAACTAGAAAGCCAGGAAAGTCTCAGAGTTAATGAGTTAATCACTTAAAGCTCAAAAAGCCAAGAGCAACTTGGCCTTGAATGTTGAATATTCCCCAGATAAAGAGAAGTATCTGAGCACAGCCCATGTCTTCACTGTGTCAATTAGATTGTTGAAAGATTTACTTCAACCTGCTAAAAGGCCCACCTATAAACAGCAAAATAAAGACAGGAAGATTTCACCTTAAAGCCAAAGTTGCATTTTGTAAAAACCCAGGAAGATTAAGAATAAAGTTTCTCAACATATTCTTTAGCAAACAACAAACAAACAACTCTGCCCACTGTGGAGGAGGGGCAGACAGTCTTGACTGATATGCTCCCAAACCAGGAAGCTGCATCCTGGGAGGGAACCAAAGC